CCCATGTGGGGGAGCCGGCACGAGCTTACGTACCGTCTGCGTGTCGAGCACGCACCCCCCTGGCACCGGCTTCGACCGTTTTTTTTTTTTTTTTTTTTTTTTTTTTTTTCCAAATATTGTTTACCTCTTCCTCTGTTCAATCAGCTCGAATGACACATTAGTCGCACCGTTGCGAGATACATTTACCCCTCGACGTTATCTTACCCAAATAAAGTATATACATAGCTTTCCGGCTAATGAGATCAGGTGGACAATAAATTAATGAATAATTGGTGGATGATTGAAGAAAGAACCGAATCGTAAACTGCATATAATTACCATTAATCAAAAAAATCCGGAGAAACGCGAGTTTCTGGCCCCTCTCTCGCGAGGCGCTGTCAGACAGTATACACTATATGTACAGCATCGGGAAATAAAGAAGCCCACACCAACTTATTCTTCTCCTGCTCTCGGCTGATGGGAGTTATTGCAGAGGGTGGTTACGTGTGTCCTTCGATCAGCTGCATCCGTGCACCATCTCGATTTTACATGCCATGTGTTATATATATATATATATATGCATATAGGTGGACAATGCAACGCGCGAAAGCTCCGCAAGCTCGGGCACTTATTGCGGCTGGAACTCCGTTGCTTCGTTCATTATCCCTTCTCTTTGTGCGTAACGAGAGGTGTAACGCATGCACCGCCGATTTTGAGAATAAAGCAGGCACGACGTCATCGTCGATTACGGTACGTAAATACCTAATTGCGTGCTTGTATACGCGTATTGCTCGAAACTTGACTTGTTTCACACGCACAGAATATTTATAAACCAACAGCTTATTCACCATGAGAGGTGCAGTTTATGTATCACACGAGCACTTGCAGACACAGAAAAGGAGGGGAGGCTCGTACAGTCGCAAGCACAGCACCGTGGGTATATTAGTATATAGTCTCCGGACGAGTTTATCAGCCGAACGGTAATATGTGTAAAAATTGGACAGGTGCAAGACACGGACGGTTCGACAGATCGATGCGGACGTGAGGTTCATCGGGCGGATATGGCAAGTGTACGATATACATGTATAAAGTAATTGTATTGTTATGTGATATTAGCGGCAGTGCGCGGCTGCTGCAGGATAACCCGCTCGGCGACGACTAAGTCACAATATCTCCCTCTCTCTCTCGCCCAGACCGATCGATCCGTCACACGCGCGTGTACGTGTACGACGCCCCCCCCCCCACCTCATTCTCGCTGTGTATATAGGTGTACGTGTGGGTCACAGAAAAGAGAGGCGCCTGCAGCTCTATACGTATGAAAACTCTGTCTGCGTGTGACCCACCGACTCACAGTCGCGAGTTTTAGTAGGGTATCGCATATAGACACGCGCACACAACTTTGCATGTTGTAGTACAATGCAATAAAAAGAAAAAAAAAGAGAATACTGCTGGCGGGGAAATCTAGCAATTGTAGTGGTGTGTGCAACGTTTCGTGCGCAAACTCCGGGGAGAGCTTGATCCAGCGCGCGAATTTCGAGCTTGCTCTCCTTTACCTTGTACGTATAACCAACGTATTGTGTGACGGCCGTCTGACGATCTCTTGTGGCTTTTTGTTGTTAGGTACCTCGTTTTTTTTTTTTTTTTTTTTTTTTTTTTTTTCCA